TGCTTTCAGCCTCAGAAGCTTCTATCCGGTGAGTCATTGACATCTACAAATCCTTTAGGCCACCCAGCCTTTCCTGAGTTGGATAGCTTACCTCCTGGAGTTGGGGAAGTCTTGCTGTCTTCCTGAATATAGTTCTGTTCAAGCTTCACTGCCTCTTGGAAGTCTCTTCGGATCCTCCCCCCTCTACTTGCAGGTTGGATTAGGTACCTCCCTGGAAGCACCCCTAACTCCCATGTGTACTTCGATCTGATCACTGGGTTGTAACTGGTGTGTCGGGCAATCTCCTGCAGTGTCAGGAAGGTACAGTCATAGCAGAAAGAAAATAAACTCCCTCATGGCTGATTGTACACACCCTGGAGGTAATACAATAATAAAACACACCACACCGCTGGACTTTCCCACCGAGTCACTTGGGGCCCTACAGTATCCATGTAGGATATTGTTGTTAAATGTCGTCAAGTCAATTCTGACTCATAGTGACCCTGTATAGGGTTTTAGAGGAGCGGCTGGTAAGCTTGAACCACCAACCTTGCAGTTTAAACCAACTTTGCAGTCCAGAGTATTAATCCACAGTACCACACCAGGACTCACATAGGATTGTTGTTGTTGTGAAGTGCTGTCGAGTCGATTCCAACCCATAGTGACCCTGTATAGGGTTTCCAAGGAGCAGCTGGTGAACTTGAAGCACTGACCTTGCAGTTCAAACAACTTTGCAGTCTGACGCATTAGACCACAGCACCACACCAGAACTCCATGTAGGACAAGTTCCCAGAAATTCTTTTTCTCTCTCTGTTCACTCCTCCAGATCCAGAGTCTAGGCTCCCTGCTTCCAGCTCCTGCAAGGTCAAGGTTAGAGAGAACTTCTTCTCACAGTGTCTTCTTGGTCCTCTGTTCAAAATCAAAGATGTCACTTTGAGAACTAGTGTCCACCTGGCTTAAGTCGTGGTATTTTCAATCACCTTATATGCATTCAAAAGTAAAATAATGAATAAGGAAGCTAGATGAATTGATGCCTTTGAATTGTGGTACTGGTAAAGAATATTGTTTACACCATGGGCTATCAGATGAACAAACCAGTCTGTCTTAGAATTACATTCAGAATGCTCCTTAGAAGTGAGAATGATGAGACTTCATCTAATGTACTTTGGACATGTTATCAGAATGGACCAGTAAAGTGGAGGGTCTAGGAAAGGGAGGAAGCCCCTCAATGAGATGGCTTGAGAACAGTGGCTGAGAAACTGGGCTCAAGCAGAGGGGTGATTGTGAGAATGGTGCGGGACTGGGCTTTCATTCTGTTGTACGTTTTGTTGTTGTACATGGGGTCTCTGTATTGGATCCCAACTTGACAGCACCCATCAACAACAACAAAGAGAAACGAAATCTTGGCGTGGGCCACAACATGGATGAACCTTGAAAACACCATGCTTAGTGACGAGTCGTTCGCTAAAGGATAGATACTGTATGATTTCACTTACATGAAATATAAGCAAATATATAGAAACTGAATGCTAGTAATAGTTACCAGTGTTGGGAGGGAAGGGGAAATGTTTTTTTTTGTTGTTGTTGGGGCGGAGCACTGAGTTGAAGTTGATGGTGGAAATGTTTTGAATAAGATTAGTGATAATGGTGGCACACAACATGAGACATTAATAAATATCATTGACTTGTAAATGTCACAGTGGGGTTGTGGGTATTTTGGTGTGTGTTTGCACTGCAATTTAAGAAAAAATAAAAAAGATGAAGAAAAGAATAACTAGAGGGAGGGTGAGGTACGTGTGGTGTTTTAGATGTTGTTTAGTGCTTTTGAGTCAGTTCCTATATGGGGTTTTTGAGGAGCAGCTGATGGGTTTGAACTGTCAACCTTGCGGTTAGCAATCCAAGGCTTATCCTGGGGTTATGTATTTATATTGTAAGGTCCTCCTCCCTCGTCCCTCAGCTTCCAGATGCGGCAGGCCTGACTGGTGCTTCCACACAGACTGCCAAACCTGGGCCAGTGTTTGGCCAGCTGTGCTGACTTAGGAGGCGCCCTGGAATTGAGGTCAGATGGTCCCTGGAGAGGACGCCTTCAGCACTCATCGGCTGCATGATAATGAGTCAGTCATTCGCTGAGCCTCAGTTTTCCTTCTTTGAGAAATGGAGAAACTACTAGTAGTCACCACATTCCTGGCTCTAGACTAAGCCCTCTCCCACGTTGAGCACTATTGTTATCCTCCTTTTGTTGTTGTTGTTAACCTGTCCAATGGGTTTCAACCCACAGCAACCTTGTATAGGGTTTCCAAGGAACGACTGGTGAGCTTGAACCCCCAACCTTGTGGTTCAAGCCAACTTTCAAGTCCAGCGCATTAACCCAAAGCGCCCGCCACACCAGGGCTCCATCCTCCCTTTGTTGTTGTTATGTGCCGTGGAGTCGTACTCATAGTGACCCTGTACAGGATTTCTGAGGCTGTAAATCTTTATGGGAGCAGAAAGCCTCATCTTTCTCCCGCGGAACAACTGGAAGTTTCGAACTGCTAGCGGTGAGATTAGCAGCCGGGTTCGTAACCACTATGCTCTCAGCTGCTCCTCAGAAACCCTGTACTGCACCACTGAGTTGGAACCAATTCGATGGCACATAACAACAACTGAACACCACGTGTGTGGCTCTGGACTAAGTCCTTTCACACCTTGAGCACTATTGTTATCCACCTTTTCCAGATGAAGAAACTGATTTAGAAGTGAGCCCAGATCTCCCTGTGAGAAACTGGTGAGGTCTATTGGAAAGAAGGAAATGGGAATGACCTTTTCCTCAGCAGGGCCAGTACCGCCCTCTAGGGGACATCTTGGGAATCTGTGGGGTGTTTTTGAAAAGGGCAGGACAGTCCCACAAGTGAAGTGTGTTGTCCCACGACCTACATGCTATTTGACTGCCCTGCTAGATATATATGAAGGTAAAACACTTATAATTTTCTGAACCTTACCTCGTTCTGTATCAGGTTGGAGGGAATCAGTTTGTGACTACACTCAGTGACGAAGCCCACCTATTTGCAAGAAAACTGTATTTTCTCATTTTTTCTACCTAACTGGCCTTATCCAAATTCAAATCAAGGTTATTTCCCTCTTTCTCTTGGATCTGACCTGTTGTTAATATCACAACCTTGTTTTATTCAAGTACCCTCCTATCTTCACTTCATGTTCTGGTTGTTAACTCACAAACCACCTAAAGCTGGGAAACAAAAGCGAAATTTAACTCTGGTTCAGGCAGGGCAGGAGCTCAGGTAGTGTGCTGCTGGTTGTTAAGCAAAGGACAAGACCGGGTTGTTACAGGGCCTGGGAAAAGGATGATGTTTAGGTATTACTGAGATGGAGCACAGTACTCAAAGCAAAGTAAGGGTGTGAGCAGAGAACTGACTTCTGGCCCAGCCTGAGAAGGTCCTGTTTTATTTTGGAACCACAGAATTAAAAATAATAATAATAAAGTAAAAATGCAGAGCTGACTCTAGATTAAAGTGACACCAGCAACTGGAAAGATGAGGTAGAAACCTTGAGGGGCCATCAGCTTTTGTTAATGGAGGAAGGTTAGTCAGCAGAGGGTGACCATGGGTGCTTGACGGGGAGATCGTAATCAATGTCACTGAGTTGTACATGTAGAAACTGATGAATTGGTGTATGTTTTGCTGTGTACATTCTGAACAACAACGTTTTTGTTTTTGTTTTTTTAAATCGGACATCAAAATCAAGCAACATAAAATAAAGATGATATGTTGTATCTGCCTAGCTCTCCACCCTGTCTAGCAGGAACTGGGTGGTCCATGTGCAAACCTCAGGAAAATATGAGTGAGCAACTTTGGTCTTTCTGGGCCCACATGACCCACATGGTTCAGATCCTGCAGGCAAGAGTCAAATATTCCATTTCCACTTGCTTCTTATTGGAACGTCTTCCTTAAATTCATACTTACTAGGTACAAACACATCTGTTCACTACACTACTTCTCCTCCTTCAGTAGATCCATGTTTTGAATAAGCCTATTCTTTTATTATAACTTTGTTTCCTTTTATGTCTCCTTTACATTAGGGCTCTAAGTTGTGTTGAAATTAGGTGACTAATGCCTTATGTAATATTTATGCTATCCAAGACAGTGTTACGAGTGCCTTTCCATGTGTTACTTCATTTGATCCTCACACTAACTCTTACATGGTTAGTACAATTATTGTCCTCATTATGTTTATCCGCACTTTACAAAGGAGAACTCTAAGGCACAGAAAGGTTCATCCAGGAGGTAATGGGGCAAGGGTTTGAACCAAGAGCAGCTGACTACAAAATCTACATGTTTACCTATTCTGATAGCCGCCTTTCAGGGGAAGGGATTACCTAGGCACCCCATTTCAGACTATCAAGAGGATTTTCTAAGATATTTCTTCATTTTAAATGAGGGCTGAGGACCGCTGCCTGTAGTAGGTACGGAGTAAATGGTAGTGAAGTTGAACTAAGAAGGTGAATCCCCTCCCCCTTCCTCCTTCTCCAAATTCTGCCATCAACGCCCAGAATCTGAGCCAGAACTGGGGGGAGTGCTGATCTGTGTGGCCATAACCCCAGGCTCAGGAGGGGTACAGAGTCAGTCGGCTGTGGGACAGGAAGCAGTTCGTCCAGGTGAGACCATCCCGTCCCCAGGGACTGTCTGTGCCCAGGCTCAGCCTCTTTCCTCCTCTCTGAAGGGCGGGGATCACCTCTGTGGAAAATACCCAGCTGGGTGACCCTGCTGAGAGGAGAGGTGAGGATTCACAGGACCCAACTCTTCTCCTCTCTCGTGACTGGTGTTTACTGGGCCCAGTTCTGGGAAAGGGCCAGATTGCATCAGCCTGGGCCTGAGGGACTGGAGCCAGACTGTGGGCTGGGAGGAGACGTGGCCTTATAAATTGGGGCAAGTGAACTGGGAGGGGAGAGGTGCCTGGTGAGGAAAGCAGACACAAGCAAAGCTTAGAAGAAGACAGTGAAGAGAGACAGCAAGAGTAAGCCAGACATGATGGCTGCCCTTCCACCAGCAGCCAGCCCCTCCTGGGAGCCCTTAGTACAAGAAGATGAGGACGCTAGCCTGGATGAATATGACCTCTACAGCCTGACCCCCTCCTACCTGGGTAAGACCTGAACTCTGCTGTTTCCCTTCCAATTCCCAGCCTCTGACCTTCACTGACTCAGGACCCTTCCCTGGACTGCTCCCCACAGCTCACCCTTTTCCAGACAACCTATTCCCGGGGCCCCTCAGGTCAGTCTGTGGCCCCTAAGTACCCCCCTCTCTGATCTCGCATCGTACTCAGCATCATACTTACAGATCCTCTAGGGTCTTTCAGTTCACAACCCCTGTGACTGCCTCAGAGGTACAGGGTGGCAAGCCTCATTCTCCCTACTCCAATTCAAGCTCTTTCCACCCCGAAGCCTCTTACCTCCCTTTCCCAAACCATCTTTGTTCATTTCTCAGCCCACCTCCCCTCTGACTGTGGGCTTGGATTCCAGGAGGAAGAGGACGGAAAGGCCGTACCAAGAGAGAAGCTGCTGCTAACACCAACCGCCCCAACCCTGGCGGACATGAAAGAAAGCTGGTGACCAAGCTCCAGAATGCAGAGCACAATAAAAGAGGGCCAAAGCCCTGAGACAGAGCAGGAGGTGAGGAGTCAGGCTGCCTCGGCCACTAAAGGAGTTCCCTCTGCCTCCAGGGATGATGAGTGGGTGTAGGTGTGGATGGGTGGTTTGTAGAGTGAGCAGGAGGGGTCCCAAGAATTCCTTTGTTGTCTCAACATAAAATGTCCTACCAGCCAGAGCAAAAGGAAAAGTATGGAACGGTTTCAGTTAGAGGGAAATTTGGTCTACAGAGAGGGAAACTGGCCCAGAAAGGTTCAAACCCGGGTCTCTGTCTCCTTTCCTTCCCGGAGATGAGGCCAGATCATGGATACCACACCACAACAATGGCGACAGGACCTTGAGGAATGAGGACCTGGGAGAGGGTCCAGGCCTGCTCCTTCCACTCCCTGCTCCCAGGACTTGCCCTACCTGACTGAGGCCTCCAGCTACCAAGGAAGCATCCCCAGCTCCCAGCAAAAGGGCCAGATGGAGAGCACGCTATGGAAGGGCAGAATTAGGAAGGTTCCTCCCGACCACTGTCCCCTCCCCACCCCCATCATAAAAAAAAAAAAAAAAAAACCCTGAAGAAAACAGGCGACAGTGACAATAAAGAGACAAAGTTAAGCAGATGCAACTTATCTGTGTTTTTGCGCTCTTTGTGGGAGTGTTTGGGCAAGTTTCTGCCTGCATGTGTCTGTGTTTGCATGAACAGATGAAAGTGGTTGCTTGTGTGCATGTATTTGGGGGTGTCACTGATTTTTGTAAAGGTCTACTGGATTGCAAGTTTGGTTTGAAGCTCAAGGTCAGCGGTTCAAATTCACCATCCACTCCTTGGAAACCCTATACAGGGTAGCTATAAGTCAGAACCAACTCAATGGCACTTAACAACACCTGCTGTGAAGGAGCGCTGGTAACGGATTGTGAGCTGGACTGCTAACTGCAAGTCAGTAGTTCGAATCTACTAGTTGTACCATGGAAGAAAGAAGAGACTTTCTGCTCCCAAAATATTTACAGCCTCAGAAATCCTATACAGGGTCACTATGAGTCGGAACCAACTTCACAACCACTACCAGCACTGATTTTGATATGCTTGTGTTTCGGTGCATATGGTTCTATGGTCCCTTATTGGATACATGAGAATTGCTTCTATTTCTTTGCAATGTTGTCCAAGAAACAACCTCCCCACCCCCAGCCTCCACCCAAGAGAAAAATCTTGTTGATTATTGTATAGTGCCACCTTTTGAAAGGAATATTATTTATTGGTGTCGTGCACAAGATGAAGAAAATGAAGATTAAAAATATTAAGAGACTTACTCAGACTCATATTCAGGGTTTTTTTAAATTGTCCTTAGGTGCAAGGTGTGTTTCTTTTCCAAGAGGGCTGCTAGGACAGGATTCTGGGAGATCAGCAAGGGGAAAAGTTTCTCACGTGGTGTTAGTCTCAGGATCAGCATTTGAGGAAGATTATGGGGCAAATGGGAGCACAGTACCTCCATATGGCAAGCAAGAACTGGACAGCAAGCCACAAGGTTCACACTTCGAGCGCTCCAGCTGCTGCACAGGAGAAAGATAAAGCTTTCTGCTCTTGCAAAGATTTAAAACAAAGAAAACCCTGTATAGGTTTGCTATGACTTGGAACCAATTTGACTGCACTTAACAACAACATGGGGCAAAAACTGGTGTTTGTTGTTGTTAAGCGCCATCAAGTCAGTTCCAAAAGCAGCTGGTGGGTTTGAACTGCTGACCTTGTGGTTCGCAGTTCAGTGCCACATCAGGAGTCAAGGTAGGAGTTAAAAGAATACACAAGAAAGGCTTCAAGAAGTTTGTAGAAAAAATAAAATTAAAAGAATGAAATTTTTCCATGAACTTTTTGAAGCCCCTTCATAATGGCTGAGATATCAGTTCAGGCTGTTATGAAGACTCATTGAAAACAGAATTATTGTTGATAAGTTCTATCAAGTCAGTTCCAAATCACAGCAACTCAGTTTACAAGGGTGAGTCAAAAATTTTCTGCACTCCAGCTATATTAAAACTTCTGTTGGCTGCACCGTCTTAGCAGTGCTTTCTATTCAAGGTCACTGCTGTGCAGGTGTGAACATGGACATCTGAAAACAAAATTTAGACTGATACTCAAAGGAATATAAAAGTTTCTTTTAAAAAATCTTTACTGGTGACGAGATATAGATTCATCACTACAAGCCTGAGAGTAAATGGCATAGTATGGGATGGAAACATCCTCAATTGCCAGCCAAAAAAAGTTCCAAAGTCAACCATCAGCTAGAAAATTTATGCTTACAGTCTTCTGGGATTCTCAAGGGCCAATATTGGAACACTGTCAGGAAAAGGTCTTCTGGGATTCTCAAGAGCCAATATTGGAACACTATCAGGAAAAGGTCTTCTGGGATTCTCAAGGGCCAATACTGGAACACTATCAGGAAAAAGGTTCAACAATCAACAGTGAGATGCTCACAGAAGAGCTGAAGCCTAACCTTTGGATTAAAGGCAGAGGACTGCTATCCTAGGGCGTTGTGGTCTTGCTTGACAATGTACATCCACACACCTCTGCCCACACTGCTGGCATTCTGCAAAAACTTCACTCTGAGGTGTCAAAGCACCCTCTCTATAGTTCTGATCTTGCTCCTTTGAACTTTCTCCTGTTTGGTCCCCTAAAAGCAACCCTTTGAGGATGAAAATTCACCTCCAATGAAGAAGTCAGTGCAGTGGTACATTCATGGCTTGCAGCTCAGCCTAAAGCATTTTTTAATAAGGGGATACAAAAGCTTGTTGACAGATGGACAAAGTGTGTTGAAAAACAAGGAGACGATGTTGAAAAATGACGTATTTACCTTTTCTACAAACTGATTGAAATAAATTCTGTGGCCAGAGTAAAGACATTTTTTTACTCACCCTTGTCAACAAAATGATAAGCTGCTCAGTCCTATGCCATCCTCACAATCATTCCTATGCTTGAGACCATTGTTGCAGCCATTGTGCCAAGTCATGTCATTTAGAATCTTCCTCCCTTTTGTTGACCCTCTACTTTACCAAGCATGATGTCCTTCTCTAGGGATTTATGTCTCCAGATAACATGTCCAAGGTATGTGAGATGAAGTCTTGTCATCCTCCCTTCTAAAGAACACTCTAGCTTCTCAGTTTGAGTTATACCGCAAATGGAGGTTCCAGAAGCTTTGCTCCATCCACTTCATTAAGGTTAACTCCACTTTGAGGAGGAAGTTCTTCCCCAGTTCTGTTCTGAGAGCCTTCCAACCCAAACGTTTCATCTTCTGATACTTTATCAGTCAATATTCCATTGCTCCATTGAAACCTGTCCACCATGGGTGACCCATCTGGTATTTAAAATACCTGTGCCATAGTTCCCAGCATTATAACAACACACAAGCCACTAGAGTATGACAAATTGACAATTGAGTAGTAAACAAAGCAGGATGTTGTTGTTGTTAGGTGCCATCTTATGCACAGCAGAACAAAACACTCCCCGGTCCTGGGCCAACCTCACTATTGTTGCGATGCTCAAGCCCATTGATGCTGCCACTTTGCCAATCCATCTCGCTGGGGGTCTTCCTCTCTTTCTGTGTCCCTCCACCTTACCAAACATGATATCCTTCTCCAGTGACTGGTCCCTCCTGACAATATGTCTGAAGTATGAGAGACAAAGCTTAGCCATCCTGGCCTCCAAGGAGCACTCTGGCTGCACTTCTTCCAAAACATCTATTGGTTCTTTTGGCAGCCATGGCACTTTCAATATTCTCCTCTAACATCATAACTCAAAAGCATCAATTCTTCTACAATCTTCCTATTTCACTGTCCAGCTTTCGCATGCACATGAGGTTATTGAAAATACCATGGCTTTGGTCAGGCACACCTTAGTCCTCAAGCTGACATCTTTGCTCTTCAACACTTTAAAAAGGTCTTGTGCAGCAGATTTGCCTAATGCAATACATCGTTTGATTTCTTGACTGCTGCTTTCATGAGTGTTGATAGTTGATCCAAGAAGAATGAAGTCCTTGACAACTTCAATCTTTTCTCCATTGATAAGAATGTTGTTTATTGGTCCAGTGGTGAGGATTTTTGTTTTCTTTACATTGTGATGTAATCCATACCGAAGGCTGTGCTCTTTGATCTTCATCAGTAAATGTTTTAAGTCTTCTTCACTTTCAGCAAGCAAGGTTGTATTATCTGCATATCACAGGTTGCTAATGAGTCTTCCTTCAATCCTGATGCCATGTTTTTCTTCATAGAACTCAGCTCCTCTGATTATTTGCTCAGCATACAGGTTGAATAAGTACGGTGAAAGAATACAACCTTGTCTCACACCTTTCTTAATATTAAACCATTCAGTGTTCCTATGTTCTGTTCAAACAACTGCCTCTTGGTCCAGGTACAGATTCCTCATGAGCACAATTAAGTGTTCTGGAATATTCATACTTCACAATGTTGTCCATAGCTTATCATGATCCACACAATCAAAAACCTTTATGTAATCAATAAAGCACAGGTAAACATCTTTCTGATATTCTCTGCTTTAAAGCAGCATAGAAAGTTATTTTTCCCTCATAACATCACAAAGGGTAAGTACTCCTGGACTACAATGGAAATTCCATTGTATCAGGGATTCTAGCTGCTTTTAGCTCATGGTTTTGCTATTCTCAAAAGATGGCTTCTATCCTGAGGTACACTATAGCTGCTTCAATGTGTAACTAAAAGGAGGAGTAGTTAACCTTTCATTTCAGAAAGAGAGGACCCAGGTCCATCAAGAAAGAAGAGCTTGAGTGGAGTGTGAGATTCTACCCAGAAAAGTATCTCAGCCTAAAACCTTTTAGACGGCGGCAGAGGCAATGGCATGGAGAGAGAGAGAGCAACAGAGGACTCTAGGTCCGTGGACTGTGTGCCTGTGGGCAGAAGGCTGACTTTGGACATTTCAATGAATGTATGTTTTTTGTTTTATAAGTTTTACATCAAATAGTTTTGCTTTGTTCATTTGCAAAAAAAAAAAGCAATGTAAAAGGGAAGC